ATCTCCTTAATAAAAATCCCCTTGCTATTACTGAAGAACACATTGGGGAAGAAACCAACATGTTTATGGCGGTGGCCTATAAACGAAGGATCTCACCAACCCCTGTTAAGTATCAACCACTTGGCTCTGCTTCTGTATGAACACACAGAAGCCTGGGGGGCTTTTGATTCTTTTGTACTAGTCATTGTTCTGGACCACCACCATGTTGGAGTCACTCCAAGATGAGAGGCAGTTTAACCTATTTTTTCCTCTGCCCAATGCTTTCCACTGGAAAAGCTTATAAGGACAGTGTATGAAAACCTACCATGGACTCAGTGTATTTCACTGTGGATAGAAGACTGCACAGAGCACAAAAGAGAGACTACAAAGGAAATACTTTCAGGGACTTCATAGATTAAAACTTTACCCCAATTCTTCATTTTCTTCACTCACCTCTGCCACAGCTTTACAGTGAGCTGAGACAGCCCCTCCTGTTGATCTGGGCTTGGCCTAATAACTTGCTTTCAACAATAGTAATTGACATGACAAATCTGAATGTTGGGCTTGTCTTCTTGGCATTTGCGATCCTCCATGGGGAGAAGATGTCCTAAGTAACTGCCACTTCTCCTTCAGCCTGGAATGCAGCAGGGAGCCACCTTGACCCCAATCCCTGCCAGAAGCTTCCATGATGAAACACAACAGCTGCAGCAAAGCAGCTAGCCAAGCCTGGTCTAGAGGAGACCAGAGCAGTCAACCCAAGAATGCAAGCATGCAGACAGATGCTTGTGGTGTAAACTCCTAAATTTTGGGGTGAATGTATTATGCAGCATTTTTGTGGCATTGTGATCTTTCTCAAGAAATACCAAAGTATGCAATATACTAATTCCCATTTATATTTATTTATATGTACAAAATATTTATTATACCAAAGCATTTATTGTCCATAGAGGAGAGAGATTGAGGAAGAAGAGTGGAGAATGAAGACTTTTTCCTTTTACTCCATCTATTTCTGTAATTAGTAATTTTTTATAACTATGTACTACTTGTTTAATTTATAAGGAAAATAAATCTGACAAACATTGTTTCCACAAATGAAAATGAAACAAAAATATTAACTTGTTATATTATATTTGGTCAACATTTAACTATCACCTTATCATTTATATAACATTAAAATCTTGCTATTCAAAGTGAAAGCCTTGGACCAGCAGCAATGGTCTTGCCTGGGAGCTAGTTAGAAATGCAGAATCTTAGGCCCCACTACAGACCCGCAAAATCTGTAGCAGGGTCCCCACATGACTTGGGCACAGGCAAATTTAAGAAACAATGCTCTAAAAAATTAAGTTTTTTCATTTTTTGCTTGAATCACTGAAAAGGAAATGGTTTGAAAAGTGAAAGATTTTATTTAAATTTCTTTTCTAAAGTGGGAAAAGTATTGGAAAGTATCTTCGAATACCAAAGATAATTGTGAAGATAATCCTTCCACAATAGTTAAAAAGAAAAGGTTAAAATGTTAAACACACGACTTGAATTTTTCAGTAACTAGAGAGGCAGGACAACAGAGTAAAAATAAAACAAAAAATGGGGTTTACATATTTCAAGAAGAGCAGGGTGAGATTTTTTTTTAAATGTGTATTTTATTTTTGAAAGAGAGACAGAATGTGAGCAGGAGGGGCGGAGAGAGAGGGAGACATAAAATCGAAGGCAGGCTCCAGGCATTGAGCTGTCAGCACAGAGCTCAACACAGGCCTCGAACTCAGGAACCATGAGATCATGACCTGAGCCGTCTGAATGCTTAACCGTCTGAGCCATCCAGGCGCCCCTGAACAGGAGTTATTTTAAACTTAGCACAGAAAAAGAAAATTCTCAATGCAACAATCATTTCCCTGCAAGGACGTATGAAATGCAAATGTCATGGGTCTTACTGGCAAAGCTGGACAAGGTAGTAGGCATTATGACTGAAAGGTTATGCAAGGCTAATCAGACTCTCTAGATTATTCTTATTTCAAAAATAGTTAACAAACTCTCAGTCCAGTTATGCCTTAGATGACATGTACTCACAGACATATGAACTTATGAATAGTCAGAAATGAATTTAAAATAAATCTTCTTATAGTACAAGACATGGCAGTTATTAAACTAAGATGAAGCAAGTGTTATAAAGTATGAAAACATGGTACTTGAATTCTATTTATTCAAAAGTCTTCACTGAGCTGAGCATGTTCTTCTAGCAAATTCAATTACTGATATGAATATGTACTATATTTTAATTATTGCAGCCATGAAAAGAAGTACTGGTTAAGGATGCATTTAATAAAAATATCCTATGAGCTTCAGTTAGTCAATCGTTTGTTTTTTTCATGAAGATCTAACTTCTAGAACAATTGTGCCAATATTATTTTTAGGTACATCCCTCTACTCTGGGCTATAGAGTACACATTAATTTAGAATTATACTAGTTTATTTCAACTGCTTTTCTAAAGAAGTGTCAAATAAATAAGAAACGTTTTGGCTTTTTCCATAATTGAAATAAATGTATAATGAACACTCACTTCCTGATTTCACTGCTGTGTTTTTTTTAATGAACATCACAGGGTGGACTTACTCTGCCTATGTATGGAATAGTAAAAGAAGGTTGAGAAAGAATAACTATAAATATAGGCCCTATAGTAATTACATATTCTCTCATACCAGCTATAACTTCTGGATAGATATTCAGATCATATGTACAATACATAGAAGAGACAGACATCAAAAGGTTTATTTAATAAACGTATCAAAGATTGACAAACATTTCACTGGGTACCAAATAGGATGCTGTGTCACAATGTTGTTGGCTATAAGAAGACACTCATCTCAAAATGGCTTAAAAATACAGGCAATTATTATCTCACTTTGTATGAAGTCAGAAGTAGAGCTGGTCCAAGTTAATCCAAGTTAATGAAAGCCTCTAAGTTCTTAGGTTTCGAAATGCTAGTCTTAGTTGGTTGGCAATTATCCCGAGGCTCATCCCTCCATGGTCTGATGGTTGCAATACCTCCTAACAAAGAAGCCTGAATACAAGGTGTAATCCAGTGTGTCCCACTCAAACCACTGACACATGGCCACCCTGTCCTTAATCATGTCATTCTATGTACAGCCCTCTTCTTTAGTTGGTGATGGGAAAATTAATGTTTTCTTATTTAATAATCTAATTTAATCTAGGATTTTTCTGTCTAGTCCTGTTATAATAGTCATAACTAATTAGTAAATAAAATCTAAATACTATCAGCATTAGCACATTGTTCATCACTGGTATGTACTGGTGGGAAAGGGAAGGAAAGGAAGAAAGGAGGATCTGCCTGGTTGAGTGGCAATGACCTTGATGGACACAGCTGGGTTATGCTGTCTTCTACTGCTGGGCTCATGAGCTGTTTTCACCCAGGTGCTGGGCAGATAGGCGTGTCTGATTTTTAAATTATTCCTGGCATGCTGATTGCGACATAGCCATATCTTGGCTGCATTTTCCTTTGGAGCCCAGAAACCATTTATGCTCCCTTTAGGGAATGTGTCCTGTTGTTCTATTGTGCCACCATCAGGGTAGCCCATAGCTCCTGCCCCTCGGCTAATCTCAGAGATCTCTAATTTGGAAATACAGAAACTTGTGAAGTCAAATTTTCCGCCCTCCAAGAGTTTAGGGGAGTAAATATAGGGTGGGGGACTCTTCCCTTGAAATCCCAGCCTGTGCTGTTGGCTCAGATCCTGCATAAGACCCCTTGCCTTCAGTGATCTCCAGATGAGAAGGGGGTGCCATCTATATGGTCTGGCATACGTGTATACTTCAAAAGTTTTCTGTCCAGGCCTCTGTCTACTCTGCCTGATCCACTTGGATTTATGATGTGTTCAGGCACCAAACTAGCTTCCCTAAACTCTGCCTCCTCCAGAATATTTCTCTCTCCCTTGTCTCCTGTTTATATCTCTTGTGTCTAGGTTGGTAATTAGGTAGGAATAAATCAATCATTTTGTGGCAGGCCCCACTTATCCTAGCCACGAATCATCTAGGCTGGGGAAAATCTTAAGAAAAAAGCCCAATGTCTCTCTCCAGTGTATATCATAAGCAACTTTATGCACATATATTTTATTACTAACATATCTTTTGCAACAGAGGGCCAACTCCCTTCATTGACAGGTACTTGCCTTCCAGGTACTCTAAATTAGAATCTGCATTTTAACAAGATCCCCAAGTGACTCTTAATGCATTTTAAAGTTTTAGAAGCACCGCCTTCACAGTTCTGGGGCTTTCTGGGTGCAGAGAAACTAGAGGCAGTAATTAAACAAATGATAAAATAGCACTTATTCTGAGCTGAAGACCCAAGTCTGCATACTGAAAGAGGTTCCTGATTTCTACGCAGCACTGACAAGAAAAGATATCAACTTAAACACATCTGGTTATATTCTAAAATTTAAATAACAAGGAGAAATATTACAAACTTTAAGGAAAAATAACAACTGATATACAAAGCAAAAAGGAAAAACTATCTGGTGACAGGCATCATCTGCTACATGAGAGGAGAATAATTATCCACTAGAAGAAAATGGGAGAAGCTAGAAGCTTGTGGAATAACATTTAAAGAGTACTGAGGGACAAGGGCCTACCCTAGAAATTCAATGCACAGCTAAGATGTCATTTACCTGTCAGGGTAAAATAAAAATATTTGCAGATATGCAAAGATTCAGAAAATCTAGCATTTATGTACCCAGCTGTGAAAAATCCTGGACACAAAACTCTAAGTGAAAACAAGTGACCCAAAAAAATGTCAAGCTAGGGAGATGAAAAGAGAGTGATTAGGAAACAATCTTTCCAATAAGTTGATGGCGCAGATAATAAAAAATAATAGCAAAGTTCTTTACATGCTCTATCTTAGTCATTCCTCATCACAGTTCTGGAAAGTGGATGCATTAGTTATCTTTTGCTATATAACAAACTACTCCTCCCCCTCCAATTTAGCAGCCTAACACAACAAACAGTCATGATTTCATACTTTCTGTGGGTCAAGATTCTGGGAACAGTGCTTCTGGCCCAAGGTCTTTCTTGAAGATGGAGTCAGAATGTTTGCCAGGGCCACAGGCATCTGAAAGTTTGACTGTAGCTGAAGAGTCTACTTCCTAGATGACTTAATTCACATGACTGTCGGCTGGAGGACTCAGCTCCTCACTGTATGGGCCTTTCCACAGAGCTGTCTGAGTGTCCTTGTGACATGGCAGCTGGCTTCCTCCTGAGTGAACATACTGAGAGAGAGAGAAATTCAGAGGCCACAATATCTTTTATGACCTCATTTCAGATGTCACACACTGTCACTTCCACTTTATTCTAGTCATTAGAAAAGACTAAATTCAAGGCACCTGGGTGGCTCAGTCAGTTAAGTGTCTGACTTTGGTTCAGGTCATGATCTCACCATTTGTGAGTTCAAACCCCATGTCGGGCTCTGTGCTGACAGCTCAGAGCCTGGATCCTGCTTGGATTCTGTGTCCCCCTCTCTCTCTGCCCTTCCGCCACTCTCTCTCTCTTTCTCTATCTCAAAAATAAACATTAAACAATTTTTTCAAAAGGAAGCAGACATGCAAGGGGGTGAGGAACTAAGTTCCACTTATGAGGGGAAAGTTAAAGAATGTGTGGACATTTTAACCTTCCACAATTATATTATTCGCTACACCGGGGCACAAAAAAAGTTATTTAACTTGCCCAAGTTTACATGGTTAGTAGGCCCAGGAGCTGAGACACATGCTCAAGCTTGTAACTACAATGTGAAACTTCCTGGAATTAGAAGTTCTAAGTTATTTTGGCCAAACTCAAGGGTTGGAGTCAACTCTTTGGAGAGATGTGGAGAAATTTTATACCCTCAAGATCTAAGAATGGAAGAGTTTTAGGGGAAATGACAACGGGGAAAGCATTGGGAGAACAGAACATGTGGAAATAAGTGGGGAAAAGTTATCTTATTTTTATAAAATGAAAAATGGGTTATTAGTGCCTGAAAATGCAAAGTGAATATTAATGAGATGGAAAAGTTCATCAAATTTCCCAAGTTAACAAGGAAGAATTTGAGCAAACCAGAAAAATAAGGAAAAAAGAGTTTATAACAGAGAAAACTAAGTAAGCAATAGGATTAAGAGACTAAAATCAAACATATCCCTGTTACACAAATGTCAATATACTCAATTCTGTAACCAAATGACAGAGACAGATAGGATTAAATAATAGAAAAAGATAGATATATAGTATTTACAGAAATATATCTGTAAATAAGTTGATGATTAAAGTTTAAAAATAAGAGATTGGAGGCAAACAAAAAGCCTATTAGACCAGGAGGAATTAAAGATTATGAGTACTCCCTCAGAAAAGGAGAATATTACATAACAGTAAAAAGCAAAAACTAGGAACCAGATGTTATAAATCTACATGCACAAACAGTATGGTAATAAAAATTACTAGAAATTGATGATGAACTTGATAAAGGTATACTTACTGTAAAAGATTTAATATATTCTAAGAATTAGATTGATAGTTAAAAATTAAACAAGTTTAATTTAAAATTTAACATAAAATTTAATTTAAAAATAAACAAGTACATGAGAAACCTGAATAATATAACAGTAGTCTACAAACATAAAAAATGCTCAGGAGCAAGAGAACTTCTGAGGTGCTTATTTCAGATTCACAAGAGATTTTCTCTAAGATCATAGAAGTCCTTACTCTAGGCCAGAGAAAAGTACAGATCCTGATATAAATATGTTATCCACAAACTGCTCATATTCCAGAGGAATATCTCTTCTACATTCATTCCTTCAAGAGGTATTTTGTCAAAAAAAAAAGAAAGAAAGAAATTGAAGTCAAAAAAACCAAACCAAAACAAACAAACAAAAAAGAGGTATTTTGTCATTGCTACGATATAAAAGAAGCCACAGAAGTCCTTAATGGAAGTAGTAATCAGTGCTCTATGTTGTCAATGGATCTATCTCCCATTTCAAAGCTATTTGACATGTTTTTATTTCCCTTTTGGAAAAAAACAACTAAATATCTGTTATTAATCCATCAATAAATTGCACAATATATAAAGCTTTAAATCAGTGTGCAGTGCAAAATACTAAATAGCCTCCCCCATAACACAGAGGCACCATGAAAGATTTATTTTTAGAAGGAAAAAACACTAACACATGGGCTGTATGAAAGATGAATTTCCTAAGTATTTTTGAAAAGACAACAACAATAAACTCTACTGACTTTGCCTCAAACTTATAAAAAGATCCATAATTATTTAATAGATTTTATTTCCACTTAAATATACCATCACCCACTGGAATGCCACACCGGTTACTGACTCAAACTTCAATTATTTCCATATTTAAATTAATTAATATAGTTATTGCTATGGAACGACTACTCTATGCTCTGTCTTTCAAGTTAGACCTGAATAATAAATAAGAATTTAAGGGCTTTGGCAGCTAATGCAATTTCTTGCTGGATTTTACTGGCAAATTTTATAAAGATATGTGAATTCAGTAGAATCACTTTACTCACCAAGCATTTTGCAGAACCCCTAGGACTACATAAGAAGTACTAAATGAACAACACCTTTGCATAGTTGTAACTTAAAGATAAAATTTTATTGAATACTTGATAGAGATGGAAGCATAAATTGGCATTAGTACTGGTAGAGAACTTAGCCCAGGCATCAGTCTGTCTCATAGTCTATGTGGATAAGAACTACATAAACTCTTCTACCACTTTTCAATTAGCTTTATTTCAGGCAGTAGGACTCTTAACACCCTTTACTCCCATCCATCCTTTGTGTTGCCCAAGTTCTGATGACTCAACTGCCAAATGGCTAAGAGCAAAACTATAAACAAAGTTCAAGTTAAAAAGCTCACAGTGTTTTTAAGACTTCTGGTGAAAGAGGGGAAAGGTTGTGTCTATTTCCTAATCTGTGGGGTTTCTAACATTTTACCCATGTTATGCCTGCCCTCTCATTGACAATAAACCTATATTTAAGTAATTCAGCATATCTAGCCTCCTCAGACTACAAAAGGTTTGAAATCAAATCAGATTATCATTGCAAAGCTACTTTTCAGCTACTTGCTCAGAAAAACAAAGAGCATTTTTATGAAACTCAGAGAGTTTCCCATTCAGGGGAAAACAACCTCCTAGAAACCAAGTTAGGACAGTGAGTAGTCAGACTGGTAAACTTCAAGATTTCATTCAACTAACAAATGTCTACCCTACAGCTACTCAAAATATTTGCACCGATAGTTCTGATAGTCAAGCATAGTTTGACTATGAGAATTATCTAAGACAGTTGTGTGGTTAAGTATGTGAGGGTGCACAACGTAGCTTGCCAATAAAGTTACACTCAAATATTTCCAAAAAATCAAGCTCTCAGACTAACAGTCATTCATTAGAGAGTGCAAAAAAGAAAATGATGAAATACCAATTTACGTCCACTAGATGGGCAAAGAGTTTAGCGTATCAAAACCAAGTTTTGGCTAAGACACACATTGCTGATGGGAGTCTAAATTGCTATATATACTTGGAAAACAAGTCTCTTGATGTTATAAATAACCTATGATCCACAAACTTCACTCCTAGGCATATACCCTAGAAAAACTCGAACTTGTGCATCTAAAGGCATACAAACATGATCATAGCAGCATTCTTTATAATACTAAATACAGGAGACATCTCAAATGTCCATCAATAGTAGAGTTGATTTAAATGGGGGTATGGAATGGTAATACAATTGAGAGTAAATAGCTATTAAGATAAAAGAGCTATAATTAAACATAACAAAGGTATACTTCAAAAATAAGATTCTGGTGGGTGCCTAGGTGGCTCAGTCAGTTAAGCATGGGACTCTTGGTTTCAGCTCAAGTCATGATCTCAGGGTTCATGAGATCAAGCCTGCATCAGGCTTCATTGAGATTGGAGTCTGCTTGAGAGCTCTCTCTCTCTCTCCCTCTGTCCCCTCCCCTCGTCGTATGAGCTCTCTCTCTAAAATAAAAAATATATATATATGGGGCACCTGGGTGGTTCGGTGGATTAAGCATTTGACTTCGGCTCGGGTCATGATCTCCTGGTCTGTGGGTTCAAGCCCCACAATGGGCTCTGTGCTGACAGCTCAGAGACTGGAACCTGCTTTGGATTTTGTGTCTCCCTCTCTCAGCACCTTCTCCACTTGCACTCTGTCTCTCTCTCTCAAAAATAAATAGACATTAAAATTTTTTTTAAATATGGGGCGCCTGGGTGGCTTAGTGGGTTGAGCGTCCGACTTTCGCTTAGGTCATGATCTCGCGGTTTGTGGGTTCGAGCCCCAGGTAGGGCTCTGTGCTGACTGCCAGCTCAGAGCCTGGAGCCTGTTTCAGTCTGTGACTCCCTCTCTCTCTGACCCTCCCCTGCTCACACCGTCTCTCTCTCTCCTAGAAATAAATAAAACATTAAAAAAAATAAAATCTCTTTAAAAAATTTTTTTTAAATAAATAAACTTACAAAATAAGAGTTTGGAAGGAAAAAAATGTCTAAACAATACATACCATTCTACTCAATTTTTATAAATCCTCAAAACGTGCAATACTCACTGCACATTTTTAAGGGAAGCATTCTATGAAGCAACATAATTTTAAAAGGCAAGGGGGTGAAATATACAAATTTCAGAATAGCAGTCACCTATGAGGATAGGAGCAGGAAGGTGCAGCTTGGGAAGAAAGACAGGGAGTCCAGCAGTAGAAGCAAACTTGTTTAGCTTTGTTTCTCCAAACTTTCCATGTTGTATAGTATATTCCTTTGTGTTCATGAAATAGTCTTTAATCATATTTCCAAACAGTCTCTGCAAAAAATAGATTGGGGTGTAGCAACATGAATGGAACTTGAGGGTGTTATGCTGAGCAAAATAAGTCAAGCAGAGAAGGACAGATACTATATGTTTGCACGTATAGGAGGATTAGGAGGAAGCCAATGGAGGACCATGCAGGAGAAGAAGGGGAAAAATAGTTGGGGAGAGGGAGGGAGGCAAACCATGAGAGACTCTTGAATGCTGAGAACAAACTGAGGGCTGAGGGGGGTTGGGGTGGGGAATGGGGGTGATGGGCATGGAGGAGGGCACTTGTGGGGATGAGCACTGGGAGTTATATGGAAACCAACTTGACAATAAACTATTAAAAAATTAGATTGGGGTGGGGGAACTATTGCTCTTAATCAGAAGCTATTATGTACTATTTTAAAAAGCATACATGTTTTGCATTCACATAAAAAAGCTGATAGAATTTGCCTGCCAAAAAAAAAAAACAAAAACAAAAAACAAAAAACCAGTGTGTCTTGGGGGTTGGGATGTTAGGGCACACTTGCGGGCTTTGAAATAAAATGATCTTGTTATATTTGCTACCATTTGTGTATAGATATTTTTAAGCCTATATACATCTTAGAGTGTGCAAAGAAAAATTCTGGGAAGATTTACCAGAATCTACAGCAGTTGTCTTTGACAAGTACATTTTTTTCACTTTATTGTATAATATATTTTTCATTTAGGTTTACTTATAAAATTATTTTATTCTATCTTTAAATTGATTGGTTGGTTGGTCTTACTGTAGGAGCCTTACGTTTCAAATACAATGCTTTTCAGAATGAGGGCCGTGGAGCTGGAGGAGAGGGTGAAAAGAAGGGCGGACAGCTGCGGACCTCGGCCCGTCTCTGCCATCCGTGGCGCTGGGCGTGCAGAGCGGTCCTCCAGCATCCCGGCGGGCCGGCCACCAGGCGGGGACAAGGCCACCAGGTGGAGCTGGGCGGCGCGCGCGGAGACGGAGCCCCGCCCCGCCGCGCACCTGAGCGGTTGCCTGGGCAGCGGGGCGGGGCGTGGCCGAAGCTCACAATCGGCCAAGTCTCTGCGCCTCCCACCCCGCCTCCCTGCGCTCTCACCTGGCGGCGCGCTCGCCAGCTGCGGACCCGAGGCCCATGGACACACACATCCGCTCCCTGCTGCCCCGCGCGCTGGCTCGCCTGCTCTGCCCACAGAGACACCATTCACGGCTGGGCGCCCACGCGGGGCTCTGGGAGCCCAAGGTCGCGGCTGGGGCCCGCGCCAGGCGGCAGAGAACGAGGGCCGGGGCCGCCGGGCGCCCCCGCAGACAGAGGCGCGTTGGTGCCCAGTCATCCGCCGCACCCGATCACCCCCACGACTAAGAGGTGAGCTTGGCATCTTGCTCCCTGCCACCTGGACTTTACCTTGAGGTTACTTAACCCCTCTTCTCTACCCATTTTTCTGAGACTTAACACTGAAAGGGACAGTAAAGAACCCCGCAAATGTACACCGTGGCTTCTGGGGGAGTTGAAACCCACGGAAATTTGATTTATTCGTAGTGAGCCTGCATTGGGGGACTTTGTTAAGTACTCTACTAGGATTGTCTCATTTCCTCTTCACATGGACCATCGAGTTGGTAGTGTCATCCCCATTTCACAGATAAAGAGACTGAGGCACAAACCAGGTAGATAATATGTTCAGGTTTACGGAACCAGTTTCTGTAAATAATGATGCAGAGAAGAGGGGAACCCCAGCAACAGATTTCTCCACCTGCAAACCTACACTCTTTCCACTGTTCCCGGTGTGTTTCCCTCCACTCCTCATTCTAGCAAACCACCCTTGTGTCATAGACTCCTTGGAGAAGTTGATGAATTCTGTGTATCTCTCCTCCACAGGGGAAAAATGTACCTGGACACACACACACACACACACACACACACTGCAGATTGTCATATAGTTTTAGAGGGTTCAGACCCAAACATGGACCTGAGGTGAAGAACTCCTGTCCTATTCCACTATCTTTTGAGATTGTCTATATAGATGATCAGATGGGGGTATGCCAGGGTGGCTACGGGGCCATACAGAGGTAAAGTATACTTGCTGGGCGGGTGTATACATGATGACTCCCCTGAAGACCAGAGATGCTATCATACTTTTTGAAGAACTCAGAACTAGAGGGCAGGGCTTCTGTTTTTACCTACAGTGGGATGAGGCTCTTGTTCAGTCTTGGCAGCAGGTAGTGAAGGACAGAGCAAGGGCAGCTGCTCTCTCCCCAGTATTTGGGGGGGGGGGTTAGGTAGAAGAGTACAAGCTGTAGAACTGGCCTGTGGGCTGTGGAATTCATCATTGTAGCTTGACTGGACGATGCTTCATGCTGCTAATTCTTTGTTAGGGGTGAGTGCCTCTGAGACAGCGTTGAAGTCTCTGATGAGGATGTCTCTGTTCACACAGATGAGGTGGCGTAGATTCAGGAAGGTCAATGAACCATTTCCGGTGTGTGTTGTGCCTACGTATGCAGTGTGACACCGCACCTAACTAGAATATGACTAGTAATACTAAAGTAAATATCACCAAGGCATGCAGGAAAGGCCAAGTGGGTGACTTGTGGGGCAGCTCAGGACTTACTGGGAGCCTATGTACACACATGGTTCTAAGAAGCCGCATTATCTGGTTTCCTAGTCTACCGCATGTTATAAACAGATTAAAAGGGAAGATAGGGGCTACAGCAAACAGGACATTGAAGCCACAAGCTCTGTAATGACTGATGTCCCAGCATAAAGGAGGATGCACAAAAAAAACCCAACAACAACAACAGCAAAAAAAACCCAGCAGGCAGAAGAGTGGGGAGAAAAGGATGAGGCAGCAGCATGCCTTTGACAACGGTGCTCACCTTCTCCCTTGACACACTCTCCTCCTGGCCTTCAGCCAGTCTCAGGGGGCCCTGCAGCCACCAAAAAACCCACAGCTTCCCATACACCAGGGTCAGATCTCTCTCTTGAATTCTGTTGCATATAGCCATGTGGGTTCTGACTCAGCATGCCCAAGGCATAACTGTCTACACTCTATGACCAATCTGACTGCATCCTGAGCTCCCCATCTCAGACACAGGTAGCCAGTTGCTCAAACCAGAAACCTGGGCATTCTCTTTCGTTTCTTCCACTCCTCAATCTTAAAACTTTCAGTTTTGAAGGAACCATTATTTGAATGCCTCACATGAGTCAGGTTCTGGGTGATGGAGAAATAAAGGTAATTATAATATAAAACTTCTATTCCGTGAAGGCTCTATACTACTGGGGAAGTCACACAGTATATAAATTGAATATATCTATATCTACAGATCTATAGAAATGTAATATACAGAAATGTTTGATTTCATTATAAAGAAAAGAAAGGGATGAAGTAACAATGTGGCTGCTGTCTGAATGATGAGAAGTGCGAACCAATGGAAATTCTGAGCTAAGAGCACTCCAGGCAGAGGGAACAAGAGGTTCCAGAAGCAGGAAAGCACTTTTGTTCTATTAACAGAAAAGTGGCCAGTGTGGCTGGACATCACCTTGTCAAGGAAGACTGGAGTAAAGTTAGATCACAGAGGCAGAGAAAATGATCATTGGGAGGGGTTTGAATTTATTCTGATTACAATGAAAAGCTGTTGAGCTGCTTTAAAAAATAGTTTGGCAGGAAATTTCTGGCATGGGAACTTTCTGGTAATGTTCTACATCCTGATAGGAGTTTGGGTTACAAAGATGTGTTCACTTGTCAAAACTCATGGAATAGACCACTTAATCCTTGGACATTTCATTATATATTCAAAAGACAAAAAATTTTAAAAAAAAGAACTGTAAACAAATACTGAACCTCCAGTTAAGGATATTGCATGCTAGAGTATGTGTGCAGTTTACTTTAAAATGGATCAAAAAATAGATGGCTGAGTAGATAGACAGAGGAATGGATAGAGAAATGAAAGTGAGTAAAGCATTCATGGTAGAATCTCAGTGATGGTTCTATGGGTATTCAATTTTTCTATATATTAAAGGTAATTATAATAAAATGTTGGGGGTGAAGGCTTGTCTAATCTACCTTTAAAAACGCTTTTTCTGGGGACTGAATAAAGAATAGGCTCTGAAGGGCTGCTGAGGAAGCAGTGAGACAGATTAGAAGCTGTGACAAGGATTTGGCCTACGGTGGCACCACTGGTAATTGATGTGAGGCTATATTCTGGAGGTAGAGTTATGGGGTTTACTGGTGGATTTAAAAAGTAGAGTATCTGTGAAGAAAGGAAGAAGAATAACTTCTAATATTTTCAAATGAGTAGACAGATGATGGTGGCACCAATACTGGAAGTGGGGAGAACTGGAGAGAGGGTGATATCAGGGGTTCGGCTTTGGATGGTTCATGTTTATATACCTGTTAGAGGTCCATGTGAGAATAAAGAGTCAACAGGTAGATACGTCACTTTGGAGCTCTGGGGAGAGTTGGAGAGTGAATGTTCAGAAGCCTCAAATTGGCCTGAAGGTCATGAGATGGGATGAGAGCATCAGGGCAGTGTGTGAGAATAAAGAAGAGTCCTGAGGGCCAAGCCCTGGTCCCCACACAGGCTTCTGGCAGAGGAGGGGAGCCAGCAAAGGGGAATGAAGAGTGGATGGCGAGGTAGGAACAGGCAATGGAGATGTTATTGTTGCCTGGAGAGACATAGTTAAAGAGGAGCAAGTGGTCAAAAGTGCAACTCCCTGCCAAGGGGAATGTAGGTGAGGGAGCTGGTTTGTGGGAGAACCTGGTGCGGTTTCAGATTTTGTAGTAAGATGAAATCTTTTCAGTTGCAAAGGACAGAAACTCCGCTAACTAGCTTATACAAGTGAAGGGAGGTGGGGATGGGGAGAGGATGTTTACTCCTGCAACCCTGAGCTAATGTTGCACTAAGTAACACGTTACATATGCTCAAGTGGTAGGTGAATTCTGGCACAACTGAGTCCCAACCTCAGCCCTCAGGCTCAGTCTCTGTAACACGTACTCTCTCTGACAGCCAACGTGGTTCCTGCAACTATCGCCTCACAGCCTACTGCTTAGCAGTGTCAGCACACAGTAGTCCGACCGACCGTGTAGTTCTGACACAAGGGTCTCCTAGGGTGCTGACTGGCTGATGTCTCTCCTGAGCATGTGCTCACCCACACAGACTAAGCCTCAGCCTCGGACCCATTTCTATCATAGGGCGTGGAAGGGGCAGACCTGTCCAAAATGCTGTGTCAAAGCTTGCTTAACCTTATCTGATCTATATTTTAGAAAGATGTTTCTGAGGACTGACCAGAGAAAGGAACTTAGGAGTCTGTTGTAGAAGCAGTGAGAGAAATCAGAAGTCTGTGGCAATGACTTGGCCTAGGATAGCACTACTGTATGATCTGGAATGGATTCCCAATAAGATAATGGGTTTCTTTTCCCAGAAAAAGTGAGGTAGGAAAAGCAAGCTGGGTATACTTAGCCTGACTCAACTGAAAAGATTGTTTTTCCATAAATAAAAGGAGATAAAATTTCATATTAGAATGCTCATTACAGTAAAGCAGTGGCATATTATACTGTATGTATACAGTGGCATATTATACAGTAAAGAGTGGCTCATATACAGTAAAGCATATTATTTATGAAAATGACATTTCTCTCCCAAGCATTTACCTACCTCATTCCCATGTAAGATGACACAGTAATCACATGTTTGGTATCTCACAGAGCCCAGTAGATTCCTCCTAATAATAAGCACCTCAAAATTCTGCACAGCCTTTTAAAACATTTTTTAACTACTAAAACCTGTGTGGTCTCTGTTGCAGGGCATGCTGGTAACAGAGCCATGTAGTGGGAAGCTTAAACCCTTACGTTGGCACTTTAGTTAGCCTTACATTCTTTTGTGGGTAAAACGGGAAATCTATGTCAAGGAAGATTAAATGAAACAAGAAATTAAATTAACAAGAAAGCTGCATAGCAAGGCTGATATTAATTAGGATGAAAGATTTGTTCTGAAATATTTTAATTTTATGCTAACTGAATATTCTTTGTATTTATGTGTAATTTATACTTTCATGAAATCAGTTGCCGTAAATTATGGTAATATCATTTTGTAAGAAACAGCCTTCCTTCTTAGAAGGGAAGGCTTAAAATTATAGATGACAGAATTAACGTTGAGTTTTCTATGTTTCTCTTTTTGTTTTTGCCACTGTAGTTTTTGTTTTGGTCCAGAAAAGCATCTTCAAGAAGGTGGTCGAGTATGGCTTTAGCAGATAAGAGACTTGAGAACTTGCAGATCTACAAAGTTCTTCAGTGTGTACGGAACAAAGACATGAAGCAGATAGAGAAGCTGATCAAGTTTGGATACCCTGAACTAATCAATTTCACAGAACCAGTCAATGGACACAGTGCTCTGCACTTAGCCTCCATTTCCAATGACATTGATATGGTCAGCTTTCTCCTTAGCCTTGGTGCTCACCCTGATGTGCAAGACAAGATGGGCTGTACTCCGACAATGAGGGCTGCAGAACTGGGTCATGAATTGTCCATGGAAATATTAGCCAAGGCAAAGGCTGACATGACTATAGTTGATAATGAAGGCAAAGGTAAAAATCCCAGCATTCTATCCAACAGATGCAATTCACTTTGTAGCCAGAAATCAATAAATAGTGGATTTTTTTATTTCCAACTTTAGAAGTGAAAGACTCATGGGTTTAAGTGAGAGCCAGGTTCTCACTCCTATACCTAAGGATACTGTCTCCCCATAATTTGAAAACAGTATAGGTAGATCTTAGGGAGACAAGATCTGAGAAATTTCTCATTTAAAAAGAAAGTTAGAGTTAGATTAATCTGTGTTTGGTGGCTTTCCTAATGTGGAGAATTTTTACATGACACCTATTGACAATACCATAGGCATAATCATTGATTATAAGATATAAAATCTTGTTTAAGATAAAAGAGGAGGGAGGCATTCTTAACTGCTTTTGATACTTCAGAGCATCAGACAAATAGTGCTAGATTTGGACTGTGAAAGGACTTTGACCCCTCTCATCAGCAGTCTGATGTAGAAAGGGGTTGTAGTTGGGAGCTACAAGGACTAAGGTGGATGCCGGCATACACTCTCAATTTTCTAGGGTCAGTTTAATTGTATTTGGAAAAAGAACTTAAAACTTGAGACATGTCATTTCCATTCTTTTTTAGGTGAGATAGCCCCCCTTCTCTACTCTGTTCTCCCTAATCACATCTCAAGACCATGTTGGGGAGCTCCTGGCACAAATAACTCAAGGTTCCGGAAGGACTTGACACAGCCTCATGAAAATCACCAAGAAAATTACGACCAAGCTTAATATAAATTGGTAGATTTAATCAATTGTCCCAACGAGTTGCTTCAAGTACAGAGCCATTAATATCAGTCCCACACTGGAGAAATAAATCCCATTTTTAATGTTAATATTTTCTGACAGGAACAAAATCCGCTTTTGTAATTCTCTCCAGACTTGGTATTTGATAAGTGACTTGCTTAAAACAATAGGAGATGACAAAGAAAAGGAACAATCATTTAATTACTTAATAGCGCCACATAACAAAATGAACTTCGGATGCATTCAGGGGTCGAATGCATTTTAAAATGTTAAATTTTGAATTAAAAAAATCCTCTTAAAGCTCTATAGGATATCATATCCCAAAGTGTGCCATGGACCACTGAATTGCTGAGATGTTGATTAAGGTTACATGCAAAATTGGTTCCACTGTCAAATTCATTAGAGAAACATTGGATAAAATAGAGACATGTTGATTTCCTATTTGTCAGACTAAAGACAGCAACATTTTCTATATTTCTTTGACCCTTGACATAGTTTTTCCTTATGGCATCTTATATACCTGGGGTTTTGTGGAATATGCTTTGGGGGAAACACTGTAATAGAGAACAGTTTACCTTCCAGAGTTTGAAACAGAAATGTTTTTTTTAAAGGTTGAGAAATTTTATATCATAAAAATCTAAAATTCTAAAATTAAAACTGAATGAGTTAAATTACAAACAGGGCCAAGTGAATACTTGTAGCAAATGCAGTAGCCATATGGGTACTATCTAAGCTCATTCAAATTAATATGAAACCTGTCAAGGTTCTGGAAGATGAATGCATGAGAAAACAATCTGACAAATCACATAGGAAGAATTAAAGATAGAAAACAAAACTTGGGACAAGCACAAATCTTGTTGCACACATAACCTTGTTAGTACTGCCCCCTAGAGCTGGATTCTGTGTAACCCATGGTATGCTTATTGCACTGAGTGAACGCCCTGTCTTCCCCACGTCAACAAATCTAGCTCACCATGCACATCCCTTGGTTTGCCTGTCACTTGTCAAACTGTTTTGCTTCTTCTATAGTCTCAGCAATTAACATCCTGTTTTCCAGGGATTGATGTATGCCTCACTGCACATTATTCCTAAAAGATAAACAAACATTTAAATGATTAAAATACTTACTGGATCTTTAGAAGGATGTGGGACATATTCTAGGCTAAACTGTGCTTTGAACAATTTTGCAGAATATGGAAAAGGTAAATCTCTAAGCCAGTAAACTCTTTCCTATTTGTTGTCCTAGGGGATTAGTTAGTGTCTGTCTGTTCTAGAGAGTGGAAAAGTGTTTTCTTTTTAAGGATTAAGCTAGTCTAGTTCCTTAGAGGGCCCATTCCATTGTTTTTCCCATTTATAGGAATGCACACCCAGTCCTACATGCAGGATGCAAATTCGACTGTCTATCATTTTCCCCCTTTTCTTCCACTTCAATTTTAGAATTTGATTCACGTTCTTTGTGGCTTAAAGAACCCAGATAGACTTTAACTGTGAGTTGCACGTGGCATCATTATGAAATATCTATTTCATGAATGCCTTAGGGCCTTTTGTAATGAATTCAGCCTCATCTGGTATTTCTAGATCGCACTGTTGCTTATTGTTGTTTTGGTCCATTCTTGTTTCCTATGACTTGTTGTGACTTTGATTTTCTATTTTCAACCATGTCCTAGACCATCTTTCTGTTTTTAACTGTTCTGAGTAACCCTATTTTAGATGTGTCTGTTTATATGAAATATATTTGGATTTTGGTTTTATATAAATTGTGGTTTTTATTTTAGTGCTAGAATTTACCCAATTTATATTTATGTAGATGTCCCAAAGGTTTGGCCTCAGAACTGTCATTTATTTTATATTATGAAGGTAAAATTTATTTAATACATAAATATATAAATAAATATATATGAATATGTTTTCCTATATTGTCCACATATTCTATATTTTGTTGTGTATTATATTTTCTAAGGTTAATGGTCTGGTTTTAGTTCTCTTTTTGGTTGTTGGTATGGTAGTTTTATTTATTTGTATTACTTACTGATTTTTTAAAATTGAGGAATATTTGACATAAACATAATAGTTTCAGGTAACACATAATTTGATAATTGTACGGATTGCAAAATGATCACCACAGTAAATCTAGTTAACATCTGTCTTTTTTCTTGGGAAGAGAACTGTTTTTTGTTTTTTAAGTTTATTTATTTTGAGAGAGACAGAGATAGCACAAGTGGCGGAGGGCCAGAGAGAGAATCCAAAGCAGGCTCTGCACTGTCATCATGGAGCCCAATATGAGGCTCAAACTTGCGAAGCCAAAGCTCACAGTCTGATGCTAATTTTTGGTTGTTTTAATGGCAAACTTGATAGCTTTACATAGATATAAAACTTTGTTTATTAAATTAGCACTTCACATGGTATTCATTAATATTTTGCTATGAAAGAAGAGATTAGTACAATAACTTTTTTGCATCCTTAAACTTACATGTCCATTGCTTTTATATATGATAGGTACAAAATCTCCCTATATTCTTTTTCAAGTGATATTGTAGAGATCGTTTAGTTATTTTCTTTTTTTTTTTAATGTTTTTATTTATTTCTGAAAGAGAGAGAGAAAGGCAGTGTGAGCAGGGGAGGGTCAGAGAGAGAGAGATATACAGAATCCGAAGCAGGCTCCAGGCTCTGAGCTGTCAGCACAGAGCCCAACGTGGGGCTCGAACCCACGAACCGTGAGATCATGACCGGCGCCGAAGTCGGATGCTTAACTGACTGAGCCACCCAGGTGCCCCTCTAACATGGAATGTTACAGTGGCAAAATCTTGAGGCAACTTGACTTTAGCTTCTTATAGATGCGATTTGAAGCGTTACCCAGATGCTCACAGGATACCTTTTCTACCTAGCTTTACATATGCATGCCTTGTTGATTGTTCTTAATCCATTTTTCCTGAGACTGCGGTATGCTTTTTTAATCTTGAAATTCAGGTTTTCACTTCAAGAAAGTTTCTTCTGTTGTATCTCCATTTTTTCTCTTCTACATGGTGTTCTATTATGGAACACCAATTACACAAATGTTCACCTTTCTTTGCCTCTAGACCATTTCAACTCTTCCATCATCTGTGACATTCTTCTTAGTTCTTTTGAATTTTTCCTCCACATCCTTCATGGTGATTTTGCTTTCATTTTCCTGCTTCCAGTTTTACCTCCCTTTCTTTAGTGGTTTTAATTCCCTCTACCATTCCTTTCCTAACTTCAGCTGGCTTAATTTTATCTTTTCCTTCTATTTATCTTCTATTGTGCTGGCAGCCCTTCTTTTAGTCTTGGTCTATCTTTGTACATTTGTTTTAGAAAAAAAAAGTTATATTTGACTTCTTCACTACCATGGAAATAGGTCAGTCAATAATTTTCACATGGTGTAGTTTTTCTAGTATGTTGTTTTTGCCTAGCTTTCATTATCAGGTTTATTTCTTTCAGTATCTTTTTTCCCCCCATAGGTCACATGCTGCTTTTTCATTTGCTTACTGTTCCTCTTTGAATGAAGCCTCTATTTAGAGTGAGGTCATTACAAAGTCAGTTTGGAGTCTGACTGTTGTTCGCCCAGATTATAATACCCCTGATCTGAAGTACATTTTTGACAGGAAGTATGTTGAAGACCTGTCATAGGTTCTGGATCGGGGAATTTAGCATTTTCCTCTCTTCATTGGAACAAAACGATTTGCCAAAATGGTAGAGCCCCTTGTCATCTCTTTTTTTCTTCTCAGTGCTGCTGTACTGACAGCCTCCTTCTTATAAACACAGCTGGTCTGCACATTTTAACATCCAGTACCACGTCCTTTGTCACCCTGCAGTTTCAGTGGAGACACAGCAACCCACCAGCCGGCACCCACAGTCCTCCATGTGGGGTATGGTTGACAAGGGCTCACATATCAACACTCCAATTATTCCCCTGAACCAGGTCCCATCGCATTTGGTTGGGACTGTTTTCTAATTTTATCAGAGGTTGACTTTCTTCTTTTGTTTCTTGGTCTTGGTATTTCGGTTGGTTTCAGAAAGAAAAAGCAAGGCAGCTACGCCTTTGCTCCACCACCTTCAACTAGCCAGTTGTGGATTTCAAAATTGTTATCTTTTCCTTGCTATCTGGTTCAAGAACACGGACAATTAAGTACTCTTTGGGGATTCTATTTTTCTACAGGTGTTTTGTTTTACTGCATTTTGCCTACGAAGCGGCATTATCGCTGTGCATTGATTGCCCTGGAACATGGCGCAGATGTCAACAACTCTAGCTATGAAGGAAAGCCAGTATTCCTTAGAGCATGTGAAGAAGCACATGATATTAAAGATGTGTGCCTGACGTTTTTGGAAAAAGGAGCTAATCCAAATGCTATCAACACAGTACGACTATTCCTGTGATTATATATATATTCTTTTTTTTCAATGATAGAGTCTCAGTAGTGTAATTTTTGCATTTGATTACAGTAAAATTATCCTGTTAGCTTATAGACTATTCATTTCTATTCAAAATAAAATGTTTTAAGATGATTTATTTTCATTATCTTTATATTGCCATGATTCCACAGTCTGTTTCCTAATTACATTTGGAAAATTGGTATTTATCATGCATACTGGTAAAAGATCATTAGAAAAAAATAGGAAAGATCTCACTGATGCCTAATAAAAATGTATCTTTTTGGAAAGAAGATATGTGGTCCTGCTGTTTCCCGTATCCATCTTGCTCCCTCTCCTTGTTTGGCCAATTTTATTGAGTTTTCTTATTGTTTAATCGTCATTTCCAGATGGCACAATATCCATTTGTTTCCTCACTAGCAAACACCTATAACTTTAGCATCTATTTTACCCTCTTTTCTCCCCTTCAGCTCTACTTTCCTTACAAAAAATGAACATTTTAGCATGATTTCACAGGAACATCTGGTGTGACCTTGACTCTGATATTCAAATTCTTCTACACTGACCAACCATACTGACTCCACTTTTCCTATTCGTTACATGAAACTGATAAAAATATAGAGAACTAAGCATGTCAGTGTAAATCCAAGGCCAAATGGATTTAGACCATACTTATACCAAATAAATTTTTTAGGTGACAAGTGTAACCAGCATTTGATCTGTTCCCATCCAGTCCACAGGTCGAACAGCTTTAATGGAAGCATCAAGAGAAGGAGTATTAGAGCTGGTTCGAGGGATATTGGAAAGAGGAGGTGAAGTGAATGCCTTTGACAATGAAAGACATCACGCTGCACATTTTGCTGCCAAAGGAGGCTTTTTTGATGTAATAACCTGTCCTTTGCTTTAAAATCTGTTGTTCAATATATCATGCCTTTTTCGCAAATTGTTTTAACATCATGTAGGTTACACTAAGAACTTTTTCCAAGTTACCATCTTGATTTCCCTAGATAATTCTAAAATTATATCTCATATCAAATATTATTTTTTATAAAACCACTTTCTAGCCCTTTATTCAGTTTCACCTGCTTGCTATGTTTATTCATTTATTATTACCGGTAATGTTTTTCTGTATTCTCAATTATGACAATTTAAAAGTTTTGCCTATCAGGACTACTTTATTTTATGCACCCATTGCATATCAAAATCTTCAAAATGTGGCATGACCAAACTCTGGGAGAACAATTTCAACAAACTCTTACCTCTTTGAGTTCTTGTGTGCTTCTAATGACTCACCTAAATTTTAAACTCTCTTAAGTATTCTGGTTATCTGGACATATCAGCGAAGGGTATCTTAAAGGATGTCTCATAGGTTCAGGGACAGTGCAGAAACGAAATAGGAGCCAATGCTATTCTATTTTTTTAAATTCTGAATTACATCTAAAATTTGTTTTCTCAATTTTCTGAGTTTTAACATAGCTCTCTTTGTTTTTGTCATTGTGTCTTGCCATGAAAATAAAAATATACATCACAATGGAAGTCACATTTGGTAAAGAATTTGCTTCCCTGTTGTTTTCTATAGGCTGATGCTTTCTTGAATGACTAGAATTCACCAAGATAGCTAAGTATTGAATTTTCTAAACTCTCAGTCAAAGCTATTTGATAGAACTTCCAGCCATGGTGAAAAAGTTGTATATCTGTGCCGTATCATACAGTAGCCACATGTGGCTTTTGAGCATTTTAAATATGGCTAGTAAAAGTAAGGAATTGGATTTAAAAATTTTTTTAAAACATTTATTTATTTTTGAGAAAGAAGGAGAGAAAGAATGAGAGCAGGGGAGGGGCAGAGAGAGGAAGACACAGAATCTGAAGCAGGCTCCAGGCTCTATGCTGTCAGCACAGAGCCCGATGCAGGGCTCGAACCCACGAACCACGAGATCATGACCTGAGCTGAAGTCAGACAGTTAACCAACTGAGCCACTCAGGTGCCCCTAAGGAACTGGATTTTTAAAAATTGTTTTCTATTTAATTCAATTTAATTTTAAATAGCCATATGTAGCCTGAGTAACTTTTGGATAACAAGTTGGGGTGTCGGTCTTCATGCAATAAATGTACATTCCTCTTTCTCTACAATATCCACTGTTTATTTTGCAGATATTGAAGCTTCTTTTTGCTTACAAGGGAGACATGGGGCTGATTGCAATGAATGGGAACACACCACTTCATTATGCTGCCATGGGCGGTTTTGCAGATTGCTGCAAATATATAGCTCAGCGAGGTAAAATTGTCTAGCAATTTTATGCTTAAAGCAATTATGATTTACCAGTGTTGCAGATGAGCAGACAATTTGGGCCTGCTACTTGTCAGTTGCTTATCTTTTTCAATAACCCAACCTCAGTTATATATGTAGAAAGATAACTGAAAATTTTTTCTTACTCTACCTTCTGTGAAATCATGAATCGGGTCTTAAAAAGAGAAGAAAACCCATTTTCTCAAGTGTTTTTAGGTTGTCATTAAAAATCTAAAGAGGATTTTTCATGAGTCAGCTAATTATTAAAATGTTCATAGTTATTAAAGTCCTCTTAAAAATGTCCACCCATCTGAAGGATGAACACTGAAAATTATGTCTTTTAGTCTCCATTCTTATTTATTTTATTAAAAAATCGTTCAATTGTGTCAAATGCGAAGGATAACTTTTCTAAATCTCTTGAAATTACAGGGGAAATATTTTAGGAAGAAATATGAAATAAAATGAAAATTTTCATGGAAAATTAGAAATTTATTTTCAATTTTCCTGTGGCTTCTAGGTAACTTAATTTAGGAATATAAACTATGCATATATAGCTTAATGTAGTCCTTAAAATGGGAATATTAGCTAATTAAGTTTAAAAATCTGGATCCATTTGGTGTCAATTACATGCTAACTGAAAGTACATTAAAAGTTTTTAACTCTTTGTTAAAAGTGGAACTGCATTTTGCTGAACGTTGTGGTAATGGATTTGGTGTTTTACTTTTTTTTTTTTTTTCCAGTTTTGAGTAATAAGCAAAAACTTAAAGTCCTATGACTCTAGAATAGAGCAGAGAAAGTGCTTTTGTTTTTCTGTCCCCTACATAGGGGATCTAATGAAGGGGATCTTAGAAGTCCCTGAGACATAGAGATCTATACTATAACCATTAACATAGATTCGGCTAATGTGCCTGTACAACTAATAGCGCAGTAATGAATTCACTTTTACTTTTTTGAGCTTATACAAGCTCATACTCTTTCCCCCATTGCCCCCAAATAATCAACATGTTTAAAAAATAAAGGAAAATGTATCAAATGCAACTTTTGCCCCCATAAATGGTCTCATCAGTCTTGTTTGCAAATCTGTCACTATCAGCAGTTTATTCTGACATTTCATTTTTTTTCTTTTTCAAATGTCTGTTTATTTTGAGAGAGAGTGTGTGTGTGTGTGTGCACACACACATGAGAGAGGGGCAGAGAGAGAGAGGAAGAGAGAGAATCCCAAGCAGGCTCCATGCTGTCAGCACAGAGCCCAATGCAGGGCTCACTTTCATGAACTGGGAGATCATGAGCTGAGCTGAAATCAAGAGCCAGACACTTAACCAACTGCCTCAACCAGGTGCCCCTGATATTTCATTTTTAACATTGTATATTTCTAAAAACTAAAGATCTGCCCAGATTAAGACAAGCTTCTTCAACTTCAACATGTTGACTGCCTTCTTATTAGGACAAACATCACCAGACACATACTCTATCATCTATGTACTCCTGGGAGAAAGTCACAGAAAGGAAATTGAAAGGCATATTTGGCCAAAGCGTGGGCCACACCAAAGGCCTTGCCCAATGACACAGAAAGGTTTCATCTTCCTGGCAGAATCATAAGACTAGACCATATTTCTTTTTGGTGGTGTTGTTTAAATATTTATTTATTTTTGAGAAAGAGAGCACAAGCGGGGAAGGGGCAGAGGGAGAGAGGGGGGCAGAGGATCTGAAGCAGGCTCCAGGCTCCGAGCTGTCAGCACAGAGCCCAATGTGGGGCTTAAACTTACAAACCATGAAATCATGACCTGGGCCAAAGTCGGACGCTCAACCGACTGAAGAACCCAGATGCCCCTAAACTTGTTTCTAAAACAAGTGTCTGAAAGCATTCTAAGTTCTCTTACATGTTTGGAAGTACAATCACTTCGCTAGATCCTATGTGGGTGACTAATTCCATAGCAGATGTATTACCAATTACATGTCCACCTTTTGAATCTTAGATCTAAGGCAATCAAAGCAATAAGAAACAATGCATTAGCAACGAAATGCTCATTTCTGAGGAAACTCGCTGGGTTTAGTGTCTTCTATACTTAAATGTGAAGGCGGGATTGTTTTCCCTCATTAAACTATCTTCTTCAATATTCCCCTCTTATTTCCCTGGCCCTGTTGCTGGAGCAACTTATCAGTCCCAGTAAGCAGTGTGAGTGTCATATCCAAGGGCAGAAGCAGGGAGCTTGGAACAGTTCTAGGGAAGCACCCCATAAGAGAGTTACGTTTCTCATGGGCCTTTGGCTTGGCAGCACACACCAGCTGTAAGTTGAGTACCTTTCTTTGACCACAGAAGATTGTAAATCACAAAGGGAATGAATGGATCTGTATTTACTAATTATGAGGGAGGAGACAAACAGACCCAAGGCCAGAGGAAAAGAAAAACCGCTTTCAGAACTTTAAGCTGGGAGGTTGGAAACTTTTATCCACATAAAGGTCTCTAACTAGGAGGAAACTGGGAGCATAAGAAGGCAAGATAAACCAGCTTTAAAATATTTTTATCCTTAGGGGTTAATATAGAAGGAGTGGCTTGGGAGATGGTAGATAAACCCCTAGACATCTTGAATAAGTGAAAAAACTAAGTAAAAACAGCATTCTTGAAATTGCTATGGAATTATACTAACAAGACAAGTCTCAGGTCCCCTTTTTGACAAGTTACTGTTCTTGAAACTGTTCAACATAGAAATTTTGGAATCCTTATACTCATAATACTCTTTGGGTTTTTTTTTTTTATCACAACTAAAACTATCAGTATAAAATTTTTTTAATTTTTAATTTTTTTAAATTTATTTTTGAGAGAGAAAGAGAGAGAGACAGTGTGAGCAGGGGAAGGTCAGAGAGAGAGACACACACACAGAATCTGAAGACAGGCTCCAGGCTCTGAGCTAGCTAGTCAGCACAGAGCCCGATGCGGGGCTCAAACCCACAAACCATGAGATCATGACCTGAGCTGAAGCCGGACATTCAACCGACTGAGCCACCCAGACGCCCCTCTTAGTATAAAATTTTAAGTTTGACAATACCAAAGGGAGTATCAATTTTGAAAAGCGCTGGTGACTCATTTTCTTTTAACAAGGAATACAACTATAAAGTATTGAAGGGGCATGTTTTATTTCTGCATGCAGCTGCCTGTACGCTTTCATTGCTAGATGTACTGATTGGTGAGCAATCTTCTTTGATTATGTGATGTTGGCAAAGCAACAGGAGAACCTTCTTCTGGATTCGAAACACTAGAAAGTTTCTTCATCGTCTGACTTATTATATACATAATGGATTTTTAATGTCTCACTACACTTATTATAGACAGTACAACCTTCCTAGTTGCACTAAGCTGACTCTCCAGTGTAATCAGAGAAGTTTATTTATTTGGGGAATACCTACATATAGTGTTGGTGTAATCATTTTAAGGAAGGGACCAAGAAGGAAAATGAATTTTAATGCATAATTTGCACAAATACTGGAAGTCTTTCAGATTTAATGAACAAATTGCTTTTTCCTCAGTTAGGTTGTTCACATGGCCTTATCACAAAACAACAGATCAATATAAATTACATTGATGCCATGGGGAATACAGATAAATATAGTTTAAGATTGTATACAGGTTTGCAGTTATAATCATTCACAAAGAAGTAGATGTTCAGCATTCTGAGTTCCTAATGGCCCAGTAAGCTCTCCGAATCCAGGTTCTTTCCATATTCAAATACCACCCTTACTCTTTTCTTTTTTATCAAGTCTCCTTAGCAAGTATGCCAAAATGATAGTTGTTTCAAGTATCTATAGAGATCAACATCCTAATTCTTTAGGGGGCAGAAAATATAAATTGGAAACATACTTCAGAATCCACCAAAGTGAAGCTCACAGAAAAAAAAATCACAGTTTAATTTGGTAATTATGGGGGATAAATTTTATAGACTAGATCAAAATTAAGAAAACGGATGAATATCATTTGTAGAACCATGCAGATGACTGGGCAATATTCATAATAATGATGCTTTGTGTTCTAGGATGTGACCTGAAATGGAAGAACTTAGCTCATAAAACACCCAGGGCTGTGGCCAAGGAAGGCGGTTTCAAAGCAGCAAACAAAGAAATTCGGCGGGCAGAGCGAACCGCTAATAAACTGGCACGGCCGGGAGCCAAAAATCCAAATCCACTTTGGGCCCTTAGACTCCACGACTGGTCGCTAGAACATGAGACTTTCCTTCGGGAAGCCTTTTCATTTGTGGACAGAGGTGACGGGACAGTCAGCAAGGACGACTTCGTGTTGACCTTGGAGGAGAGGCAAGATTTCGTGACCTCGGAACAGTTGGCTATGGTAGCTCAATATCATGAAAAATTACGGGGAGGTGGGGTCAACATTAACGATTTCTTTAAAGGAACCAAATACTTAAGCAAGTCTTATGTCTTGGGATCATATGGGCCTAAGAAAAAGAAAAAAGGGATGGCCAAAAAGGTAAAGAAAGGCAAATTTGTTTTACCCCTCCCAATCTGCATCATCCCTGACCACGTATTCCCCCAACGGACTGATGGCGGGCCGCCCTATTACATGATTGAAACTTACAAGAATATAACTGACTGCAGTCGGTTTAACCGAGACCATCCACCAGAACATCCCATTCAGGATGACTCCGCTTGGTACATTGATGATCCAGGGAATGTATTTTCAAATATTAATTTCGTCACCAAGGCTGGAGACCTAGCTTCTCTGAAAAAGGCATTTGAATCAGGAATACCTGTGGATATGAAGGATAATTATTACAAAACACCACTAATGACTGCATGTGCCAGTGGAAACATAGATGCTGTCAAGTTTCTTCTTGAAAAAGGGTGGGTTTTCTTTTTTGAATGAGGTTTAAATTTCATGAGTGTTTATATTCAACTCCAGAATTTTAGGACAAAGAAAGAGCTTCATTTCTGAAATCTAGATTACAGATAGACCTTGCATGGGAAAGCCAGCTAATGGGAACCTGTGGGTACACACAGGTAGTTTGCCAGTAACAACTATGCACAAAGTTGCTTTACCCAGAGAGCTTTACCTACATGGTGTGTAGTCACATTTTATTTATTTTAAATTACCAAGATCGTTTTTTAAATGTATTGATTTTAGGAGAGAGAGAACGCACATGCCTGTGAGTGGGGGAGGGCCCAACAGAGAGGGAGAGAGAGAATCCCAAGTAGGCTCTGCATTGTCAGCACAGAGCCAGTGGGGCTCAAACTCACCAGCCTAGATCATGACCTAAGCAGGAATCAAGAGTCAAGCACTAAAATTGGCTGAACCACCCAGGTGCCCCAAGAATTTTTTCTGTTGTTGGAGAAACATAACATGATTTGCCCTCTTAACAAATTATAAGTGTACAATACAATATTAACTATAACTGCAATATTGTATAGATCTCTAGAACTTATTCATTTTATATGTTGCTTTTTAATCTGTCTCTTTTGCATGTGGGGGAATCCTAACAAATTTAAACAGGTACCATGGCCATGATGACATGTCTCCTTCCCTCCTCCAGAACCTCCTTGGTTCATCTGTGAATATCCTTAAAATATCAAAGCATGACATTTTTATTTAACTGTGTAATCTAAAGCAACTGCTCAGGTTTAATTTCTTCTTGTACCATAGCTGAATAACCTGGGGTAAGTTTCTTAACTTTTTTGTGCCTCCATTTTCTCATTTTTATAATAGGGCCCTAATAGGACTCAGCTCATAGATTTTGAAGATCAAATCATTTAAAATATGTAAAGTGCTTATTAGCAAAGCAATTGCATATTTGATAAAAGTTATTATTGTTATTATTACTATAATGGTCAAGGTCAAAGAGGTATTCAAATTTGTATATTATCAAGAGGGAGTATAAAGCAGTTAATGAGAATTTAAACTTTTGGACAGTGAATTTTTTTTAAAAAAGGACTGACATTTAAAATAATACACTTCAATGCTTAGAATTTTAACAATGAAGGTGCATTTAAAAGTCTATAACATTCAGGGGTGCCTGGGTGGCTTAGTCGGTTAAGCGTCCGACTTTCGTTTGGGTCATGATCTCACGGTTCGTAGGTTCAAGCCCTGTGTTGGGCTCTGTGCTGACTGCCAGCTCAGAGCCTGGAGCCTGTTTCAGTCTGTGACTCCCTCTCTCTCTGACCCTCCCCTGCTCACGCTGTCTCTCTCTCTCTCTCTCTCTCCTAGAAATAAATAAAGAACATTAAAAGAAAAGTCTATAACATTCAGAGAAAGTAGACTCAAAGGGAAATAATATGACTTTTATATTTCCTATCAGATTTTACTTTCATTGGATCCAGTTATATAATTTTCCTTAATTTTAACTTTTGCAAAAACTGTAACCCCTGGGATCTAAGTGCCTTTAAGAACAAAATGCATATATATATATATATATGCAAAGAAAATTAAGATTGTCAGATAATGCAGAGCACGAGTCAAAAAGAATTGTGGTACAGAGTTTATCTTTACTCAGAGCGTCCCTGGCTTATAGCTGAACAACTTGATAAAACTAATATGAAATCTTGCTTTGCATTTTCAGCCTCCAGCTGAAATGTGGGTTGGCACAACCCACATTTTTAGCCTGTACATCTGTCTTATTTTATAGGGCTAACGTTAATGCAACAGATAATTTCCTTTGGACTCCGCTTCATTTTGCATGCCATGCAGGCCAGCAAGATATTGTTGAGCTTCTTGTTAAATCTGGAGCTGTGATAGACGCACTCTCCATCAACAACTCCACTCCTTTAACTAGAGCTATCGAGAGCTGTAGACTAGATACCGTAAAATATCTACTTGATATGGGTGCTAAATTCCAGATGGAAAATAGAAAAGGTATGTATTCGTATCATTGATATCATTGGAGTTAAAAGGAGAATTTAGGTTTGATTCCAGACTTCTGATTCTATTCTCGTAGGACCACTTTTCCCTGTGAGTTACTACTGCAAATGCAAGCCTAAGTTGAATGTTACACAAGTTGGTTTTCTGTGAAGCACCTCTCACATCACTGATGTGAAAGGATCAGGGCTTTATGTTTGTAATCTATCGTGGACGGATACTTTTGTAAAGTACAATAAAAAGTGACTTCCTAGAAAATGAAATGAGACGAAACAGAAATACAGGTTTTTTAAAAAAAAATTTTAATTTTTTAATTTATTTCTGAGAGAGAGAGAGAGAGAGAGGAAGCGTGAGCAGGGAAGGGTCAGAGAAGAGAGGGAGACACAGAATCGGAAGCAGGCTCCAGGCTCTGAGCTAGCTGTCAGCACAGGGTTCTACATGGGGCTCGAATGCATGAACCGTGAGATCATGACCTGAGCTGAAGTCACTTAGCTGACTGAGCCACCCGGGTGCCCCAATACAGGTTTTGTTTTTTTAAACCACTAGATTAAAATGACAGAAAATTCTTCTATCAAATCTATCTAAAATTTCTAAATGCCCACTCTTTTTTTAATGTTTATTTATTTTTGAGAGTGCTATGCTGACAGCAGAGAGCCTGATGTGGGGCTCCAACTCAGAAACCATGAGATGATGACTTGAGCTGTAGTTGGGCACTTAACTGACTGAGCCACCCAGGCGCCCCCCTAATTGCCTACTCTTAATTTCTGGAGTTATTTCATTGTGGTCCTATAAGCATTAGTTTGTAGGCTTGCACCAGTGTTCAGAGTTTTCACATTGTTGCAACTGTCAATTCCTAGTAAATAGCATAGTTTAAAGACTATAGAATTTGAATTCTTTCTAAAACTGAACAAAGAATTTCTGAATTTGAGGTTCTCTCTAGGACGTCAATGGGAGGCCTAGCTTATGTCACAAATATCACACCTGAAGAATAGATAAACATTTGAATAACCATTTGACCTCATTGCTTGGAGGTACCATTTTCTTATAGTGGAGCCCATTGCTTCCTTTTGATCTGAGAGAGCATTAATATTTCTGGCTGCCTCAGGCTTCCTCTGAGTCACCAGTAGTATTGTTGTAGGCCTGCCTGAGGATGTTACAGGTGTCCTAATACCTAGCCCTATCTGCATAGCACACTGTGACACCAGCTTCCTCGGGACTTTTTGAATATACCTCCTTATTTCAGGGAAAGGGGAGAATAATGTAAAATTATCACACAGAAGGAAATGTATGCAATGTAGGAAGACAACCATCAATCAGATATTCACATGTAAATATCCTACCAGTATTTCCTATCAACTTTTTAAGAAACATGCTCAAAAAAAAAAAAACAAAAACAACAACAACAAGAAAAAGTTGTGTTGCCAATAAATGGCACTTTAAATTATGAGATTTTAGAGCTAGGTCCATCTTAGAGAATATCTGATCTAGCTTTGTGACCTTACATATAACCCTTTGCTTTAGTAATCACCCTTACTACTGTATGCTGAGGGTTGATCTGCTGACGTTTTTCTACATGGTTTATTATCAATCCATTTATCATTATTCTGAATTTATGTCTTGAACAGGGCACACTGCCATGGATATTGCAAAGGCGTATGCTGACTATAGAATAATTAGTTTGATTCAAGAAAAGCTGGATAACTTGCCAAAACCAGCAGACAATCAAAAACTGAAAGGCAAGCCACCTCCTAAAGTGAAGACTGAAGGCCCTGAAATTAGGAAAGAGGAGGTAAGAAAAGTGATGTTACCCGTTAGTAACTAGAACCTGTTAAAAACTTGTTGGGGGTAGGGCAGTGTCACTATGTATGTGTGATTATACAGCATGATATACTTGATATGATTATATACTATATAATAGTACATATTACTTATGTACTATTGTAATATAGTACTATTACATAGTACATAGTACATATACTATGATATGATTATATGGCAAAATAATATACAACCCATATTGTCAGCACTATTATGCAGTACTTTTAAAGGAATACCTAGCAAAGAAATTCTTAGTGCAGAAAAGTCTAAAAAGTGCTCATTACAAATAAAAGCCATGTAAAAACCAAGTGGGTTCAGCCAAACACAATTAGAATGTTGAAAAAAGAATGGGCATTGGATATATGTCTTTTTGGTTCTGAGTTATACAGATTTGATAAGACACCCCAGAAGGGGAAGGAGGGTGAAAGGAATGAAGCAAAGGATTATTTTCCTTCATTATGGTGCCCTAATCTTTTCATTACCCACCTTACCCTCATTCTAAGGAATTTTATTTTATTTTTTAATGGTTATTTATTTTTGAGAGAGAGAGTGCAAGCAGGGGAGGGACAGAGAGAGGGAAACAAAGAATCCCAACCAGGCTCCAAGCTGTCAGCAGAGAACCCAATGTGGGGCTCAAACTCACTAACCATGAGGTCTTGACCTTAGCCAAAATCAAGAGTCAGACACTTAACTGACAGAGCCACCCACGTGCCCCCCTAAGAGATTTTAATGACTACCAATGAACCCTGGGATATGGGGCCACTTGTGACTTGGATATCCTGCAGAATGACTAGAAAGTTTTAAAGATGCCAAAGTGACTGTTCCTGGTAATCTGGAGTGATGTGGGTGCCTCTAAACTACCAGCAGAAGATTCAGGTTTCTGCCCATGGAGATTACTGAGAGATCAAGACTTTGTCATTAACAGGGAAGCTCAAGTGCATTTCTAGCAGGCTAGAAGCTTCTTTTAGGAAAGCAGGAGGAACCCCTGGAGATCCTTGGCAGACATAGGGCAGGGATGAAATTCAAAAAGGAAAAGTTCTAATGTTATCAAATTGGAAAGGGTTAGGGAAACATAAGGTGGTAGGAAGTGGAGAGGGTGGAGGAATTATAACAAACATGGAGGACAATAAACAGTAGAGAGTAATAAACATGAAGGAGACAAGAGTAAGAATGACCAGAGGTGAAAGAAGATCAATCAGCTAAGCTTCTACTGCATACATCATTATCATTTTAGTAGGATAGGTCACGGATGGATATCTTGCAGACTTAAATGATCTGTCACCAATACTACTCTAGGAGAGTTAAACAAAGCAAACAAGTTATCTTTCCGCATCCAAAGTTATAATATTCCATTTCACTTCAAACTATAATTTATATAGTAATGTTTTTATTTTTATTTTTATTTTTTGGCTTCAGAGCAAGAACAACAAATAATATAAGAAAGCGTAATATAGGTTTTTGCAATCAATAGGGTCAGTTTTTCTTGTGTCTCATTTCCAGGAACCACTTTCATCAGTTTATACTGTACCAGCCGTATCAGAGGAAAAGAAAGTGCATAAAGATAATGTGGTTTATCTCAATTCATTGATTACCAGTGGTTATACCAAGAAAGTGGATATCACATTTATTCCACGGAGGGTAAGTACTTTGGAAGGATCTTCATAACATGGTATAAACTCATAATATCATTTTTCTAAATAAAATTTATGCAAAGCACCCAAATTAATATCTAAAGATTATCTTTCATAGTTATGATTTGAAGGTATCCTTTTGCTAATTCCTGCTACTTCAGCTCAGTAAGTTCATCTTGTTTAGCTTCCAATATCTGGTTTTCTCTATTACTATTTCTATATTGACATTTTAGTTGTCCTTGAAAAACTAAAATATTCTTTGATTAATGCCATTCCCTATAGCCATTTGGTCACCAAGTTCTATAGATATATTTTCTTGGTACTGCTCAGACCCTAGCCTTCCTCTTTGTACTCTTACTACCATCTCACTTGGGAGTTTCATGTTAAGCAACACTAGATTTATTCAGTAGCTTCCTAAAACATCCACAATTAAAGAGGTGGAGACATCTTTGGAGAACAAGGGTGGTCTTGTCAATGCTCATCAAACCATGATGAATAAGAGACCACCAGTCCCCTCTGCCTTCTACTATGAAAATAATGTTTTTATGACTTCCATCCACATAAGACATAAAGGTAACAAACCCAAATGATCGTCTAATTCCATCTTTTCCTTGTTTTGACATCCTAAAAATGAATAGCAGAGGATCATCAGAAGTAAGTGAAAAGCATTTTTTTTAATGTTTTTATTTATTTCTAGGAGAGAGAGAGAGACAGCGTGAGCAGGGAGGGTCAGAGAGAGAGGGAGTCACAGACTCTGAAACGGGCTCCAGGCTCTGAGCTGGCAGTCAGCACAGAGCCCGACGCGGGGCTCGAACCCACGAACCGCGAGATCATGACCCAAGCGAAAGTCGGACACTTAACTGACTAAGCCACCCAGGCGCCCCGAAAAGCATTTTAATTGTCCAAATAGTCACCATCGGAAATGGTGATGCCCACATAACCCCTGATGTCATGTAAGAGGAACACATGCTAAAATGGATTTAGAAGTAAATATGATAGTTTTAAGTTAATCATACTGGACACTGGATTCTGACATGTTTGCTGGCTTTCCTACTCATGCGTGCTCTGGATATGGTTGTTTATTTTAAGATTTGGAGTCCTGAAGCCACAACAGCAGAGCTGATCAGACAAAGGGAGCTACGGCGGGAGAGGCTCACGTATGAGGTGGACTTTGAGGACTTCATGATGCCCTTTCAGAAGAACATCATGGAGAAAGCTCAAGCCTTGGAAGCCACCTTCAAGACCTAAATCACAGCAGTTGCTTCTTGGGGTTAACACTTCAAGGACCAGGGAGAAAGTCAGCATTTCCATCAAAGTCAAAGGAATACACAAAATTAAGAATTTGTAACCAGATATTTGTTTTTGCTTTACCAGCTATAAATATTCTGAGCTATCTAGAGAAGGTGTATTTTACTTTGCAATGAATTACATGTCATCCTAGATAAACCCCTTAATCTTCTTTAAGGATGTAGTAGAAAAAATGGCACTTTGGTTATAAATATGTCAAAAAATTTACAAGATGTACACCATTATGTTTGTTAAAGATATAATTCTAGTGGAAATTGATGAAAACAATTTAATAGCAGGGCAGTGAAGTGATTCTAATCCATTACGGAAAGGGGGCTTATTTCTTACACGCCATCATACGTGGTATGTATTAGATACCTGGGTCAAATAAGCTTTGGCACTTCTAGCTGACACTGTCAGCACTCCACCCCTTTCTCCTTGATTGAAGCAGGCCTAACATTCAGATGCTGGAAGGCTGACCCTGACATTTAAACTTGTAGAGTAGGGCCCAAGTACATGAGAACAAGAGCCTCCCAGAAGCAGCTCTCAACCAGCGAGTGAACAGATACAGTGTATTAACACCCCAGCTCCCTCACCGCTCTGGTTGGATTGTTTGGAAGTGAGCATTCCTATTGACTGCCTAAGTTCCTCCAAGAGGTTGATATCACATTGCCCACAATGGTAATTTGATAACACACCCTTTGTTGGCAGCCTTCCCTTCCCTGTCCTCCCACATTTCTTCCACATCTTCAGGTCTTTATCAAGATGACCTCCAAAATACATACACCTAAACCCTTATCTCAAGGTTGCTTCTGGAAGGACCCAAACTAAGATAACAGCTACAGTATTAGTTATGATTCTGAGTCCCCCTAGCAAAAAACTTCAAAATGCATTCCCCTATCTTCTGTGTACTACAAAATAAGCATTTCCCAGGCTGAAAGGAGCATTTCCCAGGGTCTTGTGCAATTGAGGAACAATTCAAGTGGTATTCATACAATAGTGGAAACTTGGAACAAAATTTCCAGGTACCAAAAAATATGCATATGATAAAGAAGGACTAGATATCACGTGTGACTTTTTCTTATGGCATATGCATGGGGGCAAGGGAGAAGTGGGGGATTTAAGAGATATACCTTGTAAGTGTCCATTGGGATTTGGGCCAGGGGATGATACTTGGAAAAGGATCCTACCAGAGATAGATAGGTGATAGGCGATGATAATAGATAGATAGATAGATAGATAGATAGATAGATGATAGATAGATAGATAGATAGATAGATAGATAGATAGATAGATAGATAAAGGGATTTATTGCAAGGAGCTGACTTACATGACTATGGGGGCTGGCAGAACAGGTCACCAGGAAGTCCAGGCTGGAAACTCTTGGGTGAGAGCTATCCATGTAGTTCACAAGTGGAATTTCTTCTTCTTCAGGGAAACCTTAGTTCTGCTCTTTCAGCTGAAAGGATTAGGCCCACCCAGATGATAGAGGATAATCTCCTTTATATAAAGTCAACTAATTGTAGATGTTAATTACACCTACACAGCTCTTTCACAGCAACATCTACAATCCATGTTTGACTGAGTAACTGTGTACTAGAACCTAGCCTAGCCAAATTGAGACATGAAACTGGACATTGCTGGAGGTGTACAGTACTGAGTAAAAAGCTAGGAGAGGCATCACTGACACCAGGAAATGTAGTGAGTGCTGGGCAGAAGATCCAAAAATATCCACAAAAGCTCCATTGACAAAAAAAAAAAAAAGTCCACTTTAGGATCTGCCTTACCAAAGGCCACTAACTCCAGGTTACAACTCAGTCACCCATATACAACAAAGCCCTCTGCTTGTCACCTCCTTCACTTTCCACCTGTGAAGAGCCTTTACTGTAGCTGGTAAGTGGGGAGGAGGCTGGATGAGTGAGCAAGTAGCTATCCAGGCCCACTTTTCTGAGGCAGGCTTGAGCTGGAGTTCCTTACAAGGTTTTTGTTAGGGAGCCTGGACATTTGCTCTTAGAACTAAATTTTGTTTGTTTCATGAGGTATTTTGTGTGTCTATTTTTAATCATTTTAAAGTGTTGAGTTAATGTCCAGTATACAAAAAAGTTGCAAGAATTTTACAAAGAATCCCTATATATTCTTTGCCCAGATTACCCACGTGTTAACCACATGGCTTATTTCTTTCTGTTTCTCTCTCCATATACATAGTGTGTATGTGTGTGTAATTTTTCTTCCTGGACTATTTGAATGTCTGTTGAGGACATAATGTCCCTTACCCTTAAATACTTCAGTATGTATCTCCAAAAAACAAAGACATTCTTTTACACAATCATATTACAACTGTCAAAATTAGGAATTTAATATTTGAATTAACTAGTCATGTCTACAGACCTTATTCAGATTTTGCTATTTGTCCCAATAATATCCTTTATACCAAAAGAAAATCCCAGATCACAGGCTGCATTTTGTTGTCCCAACTCTAAAAAAAAGTTCCTCAATCTGGTTTTTTTAATGACATTGATAGTATTAGAAGAACACATGCAGTTATTTTGAAAATGCCCTTCAAGTTTGAGGGCAAGATAGATTCAAGTGATACATGTGAGGCAGGAATACCACTGTACCCTTCTCAGTACATCATATTGGGAGGCATGTGATGTTGACATGTGATGTAAACTTTGTGAATGTTAATCTCTTGATTAAAGTGGTATCTATCTGGTTTCTCTACTGTAAAGTTATTTTCCCCTTTGTACTTAATAAGTATTCTATGAATAGAACCTATGAAACTATATAGATTTCCTGTTACTACCATAATTGTCACCCACTACTTTTAGCACTCATGAGGAGTCTTGCCTGAAATAGTTACCATAAGGATGGCTGTCATGAGATGAATTTCTGATTTCCACATTCTTTCTACATTTCCTATTGGCTTTCTACTTTTGGGCAGAGCTATATCTTCTTCCCCATTAACTTATGGATTTAAATCCATATGGACCCATGTATTCCTTTTTCATTTAATGAGTTTAAAATCCTTTACTAATATCATTTTGATGCTCAAATTGTCCCTGATTTTGCCAGTGTAAGCCCCTTCAATGTGGCTTCTGAGAACAAGACATGTTTTTTCCTCCAATAATTAGAGGATGTTTTATTTCTTGAATACTGGGGGGGCGGGGGGTGGGGTGGGTAGAGAATGCCTACCCATGGTTTTACTCAGGTACAAGGAAAATGAGTCTGCAATAGCAGACTTTCAGAGTGTCTCACTTTCTGCTGTCACCCCAGCAAATACCAACACTTTCTCAGTGCTAGTTTCTTATATAGTGGTGTTTTGTGATCACCTTCAGCCATTTGCAAATGTACACTGAAAGTGTCAAGTCCTATTAATTCTCTTTCCCAATATGTGAAGTGTTTATATTCATTTGATTGGCTCAACAAAATGTTAAATGGGAACTGTGTGAAGGAACATTTGAGTGAGTCAGTTTATTTCAAGTTAACACTAAACCCAAACAGCACAAAGCCAGAGTTCTTTGATGGCCCTATAAGGCTTTCAGTACCAACCAAAGAGTGGCCCATGGACAAGCAGCATCAAATGAGGGCTTGGTCCCACTCCCAAAAAGTATAGTAGAGAACATTATACAAGCTTAAAAAATATATTATAAAGGGATGGCTGGGTGGCTTAGTCGGTTAAGTGTCCGACTTTGCCTCAGGTCATGATCTCGCAATTTGTGAGTTTGAGTCCCCCATCAGGCTCTGTGCTGACAGCTCGGAGCCTAGAGCCAACTTTAGATTCTGTGTCGTCCTCTCTCTCTGGCCCTCTCCTGCCCATACTCTGTCTCTATCTAATTAAAAAAATTTTTGTAGACAAAATTTTACTGGCATAAAAAATAGCATATTCAAATTACATCTAAAAAAACATTATAAATGGTATGTATAGTAATCTTAGACATGTAAATATGCCACACTCAAATAGTAATTTTTCTGGGTTTTAGAATTATGAATTGACTTTTATTGTATTGTTTTAATTTATATTTTTTCTTTTTTTAAACAGTGGGCATGTATGATTTTTCAATAAACAACAAAATTATTTCTTTGAAAAAATAAAACAAGTTCATCCAAATTTCCAGAATGCCAAAGTGATTTTATTAGTATTTGTCTGTTTTATTCCTCTATGTATATTGACTTAGTTATGATTCTCTCAGAAGGAGACACTGAGCCAAGAATTCAGGAGCAGGTGATTTGTGGACAAAATGCTCCTGGGGAGACTAGTGGGAGGTGTGGGGGTGAGCAGGACAGAGAAAGCAGGACAAACAAGCCCGAATTTCCTGGTGAAGTCCCAGCTTCAATTTAACCCACAGGGAGCTGTAGAGAACAGGCAAAAAGTACCAGGCTTTTGAATTCCTGCATCTGTTAATAATTGCAGCCTAGGGGGTACTAGTAAGGCTGTTTCATTGCTCAAAAGCAATTCAATGAATTGAATCGTGGGTCATGGGGGAGCTGGTTGAAAAAGCACGCAGAAGCTGGGGGTGGGGACCCTATGGGAAAAGGGACACCAATAGTGCTACAGAAATGTAGATGTAGGCTCTTCAGTCTAGAAGGAAATAGTCTCCTCTTTCGTGTCCTTATCTTTAAACTGACACTGTGTAAATTGGTTAAGAATGTGGTTTTTGTAGTCAGCAGAGGTGAATCTGAATCCTCACTCTGCCATTTATTAGCTGCATGTCTATGGATCAAGTCATAAATTGTCTCTCAATCTCAATTTCACCCTATATACAGTAGGGATATGTATCTGCCCCTCAATAAAGAACCTTGAGGACTGAATGGCATTATATCTGTAAGATTTCTAGCTCTGTGTATATGCAGTCAGTGTCCAGTACGGGACTTGTTTTTAACCTTCTTTCGGTCTCTAAAGGCAAGGTAAACCAAAAAGAAGGCACAAGGATGAGGACCTAGACTTAGACGATCAGAAGAGTAATGGTTTGTTGAAGCTGATTCATGTTCGGGTTGTCTGTTGAAGTGATTTAGACACGTAGACATTTTCTTTATCTAGTTTCTGATAATCAGAAAAAGATGAGCATTACCCATTAGTTATGGAAATAGTCACTAATTCCAGCATAGCAATTCTAGTGGC